GACGATTAAAATAATTGTAGATGCTCTGTTTTGTATTATTAAACGACTTGTCGACAATTAAAGTCATTCAGGTAGGTCATTAAGATAGGTCATTAGGGGCCAAAATCTAATACTTGATATTTGCTCCGACACCAATTTTATTATATATATTTATAGTCAGTTTAAATGCAGGTCACACAAATCTTTGACGATTTGAATAAAATGTTTTGTTTTGTACTGTTTAACGAATCATAGAAAATTTAAGTCATTTAGGGCAAAATTTAGAATCTACCAAAACATTTTACAAGTTTACCACGTTTTTATGTCAACGCATCCTTTAATGTTCATTCTATGAAGACGAAAGCGATTATCAGTCTATTGCATGACTAGGGTACTGGAAAAAGTACCGGAACAGTTACCGATATCAGCAGAACAAATCTGGAGATAGCTGGTCATCAATTTCTTCTACAAGTGTTTAGCGATTACTTTTAACAAAGAAATTGTCGTCAGGCGTTTGCTTATTGACGACCCATAACATGCTTTTTCCCAGACCCCTTTATGTTTCTCACTCCCGATACATTGGTTAGGAGTTGGTAAACATTTGGGTTACCCACAATCGGATGCTATTTTATTGGTCAACCTTTTAAATATGACGCAACGTGAAAAAAATGCATGTAAACAGTTAGAGATGAAAACAGAGGGACACATTGAATGAAATGCATAATGATCATGAAATCGTTGATCAATTTCTATGTAAACACATGAAAAAAGGGAAAACTCCTGTTCTTTAGTAATTCATTATATCTAGATTTATAGCATTTTAGCATAATTAGATTATTTTTATCTCAATTAAAGTTATCTTGATCTCATTATTCCCAATGCAATTTGACCCCTGATTGACAAAATCATAAGATGTACTTGTGATAGCATTTGTAATCACACTGGTATGTCAACAAATATGAACACAAAACGTCCCGTTTGTGCATTTTGATATTTGAATATATATTTTTATTGCAATACAAATTGTTTTGAACATTCATCTAGACAACAACATGTATTCCCCACATTGTTAAAATTAAGTAGCATAAACTAGTTTGAATTATTTATTAATTAATTTTTGATTCATGAATACAATTTATTGAGTTAAGGCACTTATTTTTACTCTTGCCAGCTGCTATTCAGGACATTTCTCTTCTTCTCCTTACCATGTACATCACTAAGGTCAGCATCAGAAGCTGTATCGTGCTGCCTCTTATAGGTGTTTTGAGTGATAGACAAATCATCTTCCAGTCTCATTATTCCTGCATTTACATATGACCTTGAACACCTCTCCTGGGTATGTTTTGTACTGGTCATCAAAATCAAAAGGAACACCTCTTAAGGTATTTTAATAAGCCCTTCGGTCTAGCGCCCGGCGTCCTACTACTAGACTACCGTGCCTCCTTCATGCAGTATGCTTCACTGTGATGTCTCTTTAAGGTCAAATTCTAAGAGAAAATTTAACGATATAATGTAAAAAATAAAAGACTAAAAGTTACGCATTAGAATGAGAGATATCATTTGGACGAGGACAGTGTAACACTTAACCTTTTTTTCTTAATCTTTTAAATAAGAGAGAATACTCTAAATCGAAAAATTAGGAACTGGACGTCTTCTTCATCCCCGATTATTCCTAGAGGGAAAATTGGGGGACAACTAGAGCTGGGTTGAGAAATCGTGCCAGTGAGAAAACATGTCACTCAAACCCCTGCCTCACAAAGAGGTATGAGAAAATAGGACACCCATGCCCCTGCCTCACCCAGAGTGGTGTGAGAAAACGTGTCCCCATGTACCCGCCTCACCCAGAGGAATGGAAAATCCTGTTTCAAACTCAGCAATGGTGACAAGATTTCTCACAAAGGAGAACAACCGTGTAAGGTGAAAAATGGTTACAGGTGTCAATGATTAATATAATCTTCCCCCGCCTTGAGGGAGTGACAGAGAAATCTCCAACCCGAGGGATGATGCTTTTTAGTTTTCTAACCCGAGGCTCTGCCGAGGGTTAAACAACCAAAAGAATCATCCCGAGGGTTGGAGATTTCTCTGCTACACCCTCAAGGTAGGGGATGATAATTTTTCTCCCGTCCTATTATTTCAGTCACAGCTCCACCGACAGTAGTCTGCCATGTATGTAAACAAAAACACATGTGGGGTATGCATATCGTCATTCACTTTTGATGACGTCACAATTACCGATGACGCATTTTAATGACGTCACAATTGAGCACGTGCTAATCGGCACGAGGCTATCCCCCCTAGTCGGTGACAAGATTATCTTTCCCTGCTAAAACGGGAGACACACTTGTGATGGGTGGGCGAAAGACATGTCCACATCATCACCTTGTTTCCAGAATGATATCGCTGATATTTATAGTGTACACAGAAATCATAGACAGATTCACGTCGTAATCAGTAGATTTTACTTTATACAAACACATAAATCATCGACGATGACTTGCGAAACTTAATTGTAGAAACAAAATTTACCAAAATGATGGCACAATCTCGATGTAAATTATTAGGTTACTTGAAGAGGGTAGGAGACAAAGTGCCAGGAGAGTAACTCATAAATCGGGACCAATTTGGAGAACACATGTCATGATTTCCATCTAAACTATTTTCATACTTTTTTTTCTGGGATTTTTATGAAAGACACAATTCGTTCAGGAAATGCTTAGCCTTTGATGATTAGGTCTCCGATGTTTTTTGTTTGGCCAAAAGATGCTTTGCACTTTGTGTTTACTCAGTTGTTGGTCTTTGTTTTGTGGGACTATTTTGAGACTGGATACTGCTATAAGGTGCTGATTATACAGTATTTTTATTCGTTCTGATCACATCATTTAACCAAATTTTATTGAGTGTAGTGAAATATGATAGCTTATCTAAAATGAAGAATAACAGTGAAATCATCATCAACCGCTGCGAGATTGTTTCCAAACTCCCCAAATATTAATAATATGTTGGTAAATTGCGAATCCTGCATTAAGTACATGTTTATCTCTCATCGCCAAACACGATATTTGCAACGTAAGATCCATAAAACCACGTTTGACTTAAATATTAAAATACTATTGATTACAGTGAAACAACAATAAAGACAAAGTAAAAATATAAAAACAAAAACATTTATTTCAGTTGATAATTCATAACAAATAACTTGTATATCAACCATATAAACTGTATAATATAAACAAAGCTATGCAAATAAAACATTATTTGTCAACAACAACATTCGAAAAATGTCATGACAACATATACAAAGGAGTACATTGCATTAAATTATCAAAAGAATGAGAATGCAAAAGATACATTGCATTAAATTATCAAAAGAATGTAAATTAAAGAAATATATTGCACAGAATTATCCAAAGAATGTAAATACATATCCATAATGTCATGAATGTATTCGTTTGATTAAGAGTGAAGTACACATTGACGAGATTCAATGGCGGTAATCAATTGTTTGATTTTCTGTAATGTACTCGTGATATGACGCACAAGCCAGATGACATTAACGTTCTCCCCTACACAGACAGTCTCGACAGTATCCATTTGGTAGTCTTTGATCAGAAATAGGAATACGTTTGTCTGCAGAAACTCAGCGAATAGATGAAACTCCTCCCCTATATGACTGTTGCTATGACAACAACCCCCAATCGCTTCAGTCGTTTCCGTTACGTTGTCAAGGAGACACACAGCAGTGACTGCTGTCCTCAGGTCAGAGGCCAACCGTGACACGTTCATAGTGCAGTCGCCACCAACCTGTAACAATTTATTAATATTTAAATATTTCATACTTTTAAATAATCAGAATAAAGAATCTTTAACCTCAAAATCTTAACGAAAATAATTTATACCAAAATATAATGTTGTTTGATCACGACTAGAAATCCAGTAGACAAATATAGATATATAAGAAACAAAAATTACTTTAATAGTTCTATGATAACTTACCTCTTTGGATGAAAGATGTACATTCAGTGGAAATAGCCGAGATTTGATCAAGTTACTCTGAAAAAAGACATAATTGTGTTTAGATACTTGTAATATAGAATACGATTGAACGACATGAACAGGATTCTCCAAATTTTTTTTATTAAAGGACCGAAAAAATTAATAATTCAATTTATTTAATTTATGATTTAGTCTTTTGCGCGTTCAATGTAATACTTACATGTAATATGTATGTTTGAAATATGAATACATGTTGGAGACATCAAATAAACTGAGGGAATGGCATAATTCTTGACTATATTTTTTAATTAATTTTGGATCTTTTTTGACAGTTGTAGGTATTTGAATATATATCTCAATATGTATGCCATATTTTGCTGGACATGAGCTGTCGGGTTACACCCTGTTATATTACTACAATTTGTCCGTCAAATTTTCTCGCAATATCAAAAGATTTGGTGATAGTTGTTGAGAGAGACACAAAGAAGAATGATTCACAGAAAGTGAGAGGACTCAAAACTACATTGACAGTGTAAAGGGTACCAAATTTAAGGATTAGTATTAAATGTTAAGTTTCCTATAACGCATGTATTATTGTTTCATTCGCATAAACAAGTATTTTCGAAGAAAGGTTCACATAAATGATTCAAAAAAAAANTTTTGTTGTTCACAATTATTTGATTTCGACAAAACATATATGACTGGTGCTCAGATAAGTGCATTTTGAAAGAAAGAATACCCACCACTAAATTGTATACGTGGTCCAGCTTTGCATTCGCTAGTACGGCGTGAAGGCGTAGGCGTTTTTCTTCTGGATTAAGATTCGATAACAAGCTCGCCGCTCTCTGTTGACTTTTTGTTGAGCTGTGAAGAGTTTGTACCGTGTCTTTATGTTCGTCAGTTTCAGAGTTCATAACTCTGAAGTCATCTCCTACCCTGATAAAGTTTACCGTATCACCATTTATAGTATTATCGTACATTTGTACCGAGGTTGTGACGTCATTCGAACTGGTTGACGATCTCGTGTGTAGAATGGTCGGGTGAACGCCTTTCAGATCATCTGTTTCATTCAGTGGAAAATCTATGACGTCATTCTTTTGAATTGGGATACTGCTACATATGGAAATCGCCAGCAGGCAAAGCAAGACAAGAAATATTTCTGAAATGGAAAATAATGAAATTTGTTATAACAAAACCTCTGTTCTGCCAATCAATTTTTGAATCGATCGCACAAATCATTAAAGACTATACAGAATTAAAAATCAAATTAAATATTTCAATTGAAATAGGTTTAGTATACTGAATGTATCAAACGCAATATTATAAAATTCCGACTGAAACACTTTACCTGTGTTCATCTTTTTGGCCTAGAAGTATCTCGGTATTAACGTTTCTAGCCGCTTTGTGTTGTGACAGCATCCGTAGAAAAATAACTGTATATATATCCATAATACAAAATTCCAACTTATTTCATTGATAAAATTTAGATTGTTCCGTAATGATTTGTTTCATTTTGTTATTATTAATATATTTGATTTCCGGGGTAAAACCAGAGGTGTACTTGTAACGTTACTTGTATGACCAGATACATCTGTCTAATCAGACTTGACGAAGGGGTGTCCGATAACAATATGATAATTAAACTCATTGAACAAAGTAGTGTAGGTGTATATCTTTGATAAGTGTGAAACGCGATACCTCTAGAGATGTTTTCCAAGAATGTTGCGTAAAATGGAAAGGATATTAAACTTTTTTTATAATGTTGATAGGTTTTGCGTATTGTTTAATATTTTGCAAATGCAATTGTTGCCTTTCCCAAACCATGCCTAACTTTGACCTTGTTGTATCGCTCAGTTTTGGAGGGAGATGTGCAAAAATATCAACCCAGGAGGAAGTAGTCGCTTAGTCTATGACTGACAGTTAATCTTTTTTTCTGTTTTGCTTTCGGCAGGATATTGACTAAGCTTGTGTTGACAAATCGTCTTACTCCTTATATTTTTGAAAAAAAGGAATGTATATGTTTACCAGATTATTACTTTGTCAGTGCAAACTAAGATCTTCCAATTTTACTATTATCTGAATGTAAGTTTTTGTCGTATATAATAATTTACTCACATATATATATATATATCATAATCATGTATATCAAACCAGACATCTTCCTTTTTTAATGTTCTTATGATTTCTACATCATAGGGTGTTCATAGAACGCACTATCTTGTTTCCGCAAAAAATGTCTGTCCCACCAATACGTTTAACAATTTCTTTCAAATGTATTTTTAACCTAATAATACCACAAAAAATATTTGTTTGCAATTTTAAACGTAAATATATCGTGAACAGAATGGAACAAAATTGTGTTGCATACCATCATCAATGTTAAAAAGATATATACCCGCAAAGCTTCATATATTAACTCAATAAACGTATATCAATATGTTTCTGTAAACATGTGTTAGTGTTTATCTAGTCCCTGTCCGCTTGATTAGAAAGCAACATGGGGTTTATCATACGAACACCATGTTCAAATCCGGAAGCACAATTTAGTCTGTAGGAGCATCCAATATGAAACAATCAAACAAAATAAACAATATCTATTTATAAAGAACTTTTTTAAAATTGACATCTACTTTTATCAATGAACTCTGAACGTGCTATCACTTTTAGTGACCTATTAGTTGATAATTAACTTAATTATATTTATCAAAATTGAAGATTTTTTTTGAATTACGTGTTTACCGTGTTATCAGCATAGTTCCTTCTTGTAAAACAGGACGTTAAACATTAAACCATATTTATTTCAACAGATTTTTTTATTACAATATAAATTGTTTCGAACATTCATCTTGGTAACAACATTTATACCTACATTGTTAGTAATTAAGTAGCATACATTAATTACAACTAATCATTGATTAATTTTTGATTCATAAATACAATTAAATACAGTTAATGTACTTATTCTAAATTTGGTCCGATGCTAATCAGACCATTTCCACTTCTTTTCCTTCTTCATTACTAAGGACAACATACGTAACTTGATCTTGGAGCCAATTATTGGTATTTTGAGTGATAAAACAAATCATCTTCCAATCTCATTATGCCTGCATTTTCAAATGCACAAATGACCTTGAACACCTGTGTTTTAAATATATGTATTGGTCATCCAAATAAATTGGAACACAACAGATTTTCAAAATGTGTTTTAATGAGCATTTAATTCGGAACACCTCTAACTCTGTGTATAGTTGAATAGATAACCTTGACAAGTATGTGAGTTAATGTGTTTTACAGGAAAATAAAACTGTTACATTCATATAATATCTAGCCTACTGTTTTGGCTCACCATGTGTAAATAATATATAGTATATAAGTTTTTAAGTAAGATGACTCACTCGTTTGTTGTTGGATCAGCCAGTGAAACCACACTGTCTCTGTCCTTCGGCCATGGACTGGTTGGTAGTGATGGCACTGGCTGAACTAACACCATCTCTTGTTTATACAATACTTGGTTAATTTTCAAACTGTGAAGACACTCAGTAAACTGTGTGTCTTGGAACAGTTTAAAAATAATTAATTCGTTTTAGACCAAATTGGTTACCAACCATCACACTTTGGGGAAACTCTATGTCGAGATTTGACAACATTCGTCGTGATGGATACCCCGATTAGTCCAGGACACGGTTATCCTCCTGGATACGTGTCCGATTTCTTTCCTGATGATGAGTTTTTTTCTTAATGTTTGTTCATATTTTTTTTCTTCTTTTGAAAACGTTGAATATGGTCATTGTGCGATGATGCTATAGTTTGTCTTAATCTTCATTAATCATGAAACATATTTAAATATGTCCATCCTTATACATCATCCTTAAAATATAAAATTGCCGTTGTAGCGTCTGATTTGTTACATGTACCACATTGACCCTTATTTCCTTAGACCTTTTCGACTTTAATTTAAACGAGTAATAAGACCCATTTGGCATCATGTTTTAGATTAACTTACTTGCCTGTCTGTCTTCTTTACAATGTATTTAATTATGCGTCAGCTAAGTTTAAAGAGGAACTTAACCACTGCCTTATTATAGGAAACGGTCTTGTCACTCTCTGCAATTTCTTGACAACTGAACGCGAAGATTGTGTATTGTATCTCTTCAATTGTACCTTATGCCGTATACAACTATAGTTACTTGTGTTACTACAAACTCAACAGAAAAGATGGACTATGTTTCCCTTTTACACATAAATAAAAGTGTATGTACGCTGTATCAATTCACCGATCTTGACTGTTGGATGAAAATGTTAACTATTTAAATTGTTATCCCTCTTATATATGTATTAAATTATTCCTTTTTTACACTTCGCTTTAGATCAGCAGCTCTATCGAGTTAAACTCAAACAATCATCACAATTCTGGAGACGTAAGTAGGTGTTTGGCAGTTTTTTTAACTACTGTGAACTATATCATAGAGAACCCTGTTAAAAAGTTTTAAAACGTTTTAAAGGACAAATTTAATCTTCAATAAAGTTAAATATAAACATAGCGAAGCTGTAAAGCAATACTAGCGTTCTTTAAGTTTGTCCCGGTGGCATTGGTAAATATTCCCAAATCTTATCTGGAATCCAGACTAAGACGTCGTAGCAGCCTACATATGATATATTAACATATGGCAGTGGTAGAATTTTTAACAAATATGTGTGTCTGCATTAGGATATTTACTGTACAGTGTTTACGGCGTGAATCTGGACGCTGTCTAGGACGTCTGTGTACAATATCACTGCCAGTGATAACATTCACGGAAATCTGGGAACTTTGTAATGATGTGGGCGGATCTATAGTAGCGTCAATTTATCCCATGACCTCAATTTTACCCTCAAGTGTGTAACATATTATGGTGTGAAAATCTTCTGTCTAACTCAATGAAATATATATAGCTGTATGCTGTGAAATGAGGAAAACCTACAGACTCCATTTTGTGTGCAGATATAATTTAAACATGTACAATTCATGTAGATGATTGTTTATGAAACGTGTATGACGGATACCTGTTGCTTTCTAATCTTGACAACAGGGATTAAATAAATAAAGACCTGTTAATACATAGGTGGTATAAGTGCATTGATTAAAATTTAGATAATTGTGGAAATTGTTCTAATTGTTAAACACAGAACTGCAAGAGCAGGATATGAAGCTTTGTAAAATTTTTATGATGACTAAATTAAATGGCATTCTGGAAGACACTACTTAGTTTCGTTATTTGACATGAAAAACATGTAGTTTCACGTTAAAAATGACAACTATCGGATTAATGATCCCATGACTATTTTGCAGATGTTGCCTGTCAATATTGACTATATTGAAAGGTTCAGGATTGCAAAATGAGATTTTAATAATCAAAATTAGGTATATATCTAATACCTAAAATTTGAAATCATTTGTACTGAAATAGTCAATGATCCGTTGCTAAAATATATTTTGATCTGTAGCAGACCAAGCGTATCAATTGTATATTAATGTGTCTTTTTGTATAATGTACCGTTTATGTGCTAACTTTGTGACATTGCTATGACGATATATTCTTAAAGCCATATAATAACATATATTAATACAAGTATATGAAACTCAATTAAAAGAAAACAGTGGCTAACATTCACCCTGATACGACGTGAATTATTTTGTTTCGTCCATCATAAACAATTCCAGTCATGACGTAGCCAGTCCAATCATTGAAAGTATTTAAATCCCCAGTTATCGAGGCTACGTTAAGAACGCATTGGATAACGTTACTAT